CTAGCTATCGTGAACGCGTAGCACCTTTTCCCCCCCAGCCCAACTCCTTCTGCGCGAACACGATGGTCCCTTCGCGTTCGCGAAGAAGGAAACTAGAACTGGACATTTCTGGTGTCTTGCATTTTGCTCTGAGAGGTCCGAAACTCACCCGAGCCACTCGGGACCCCGTCCAAAGGCACTAACAGGTCTGTAATCATAATACGGACTTGCTCAAATTCTCGAAACGCGTAAAACAACAACGAAACCAAGAATCGTACCCCAAAACTAAATTGAGTCAAACTTTGAACTTCAAGTTCTTCAATTTACTTCCAATGCGACGAAACGTACTTATATTACTCGAAATGATACTAAATTTTGCGTGCAAGTCTTTAATGATATTACGGAACTATTCCCAGTCTCGGAATTCCATTCGGATCTCGAAATCACAAAAACCCGCTCCAAAACAAAATTAAAGAACTTCAAAATCCTTAAAGATCCAACTTTCACTATTAGGCGCCAAAATGCTCCCGGGTCATCCAAAACCTGATCCGGACATACGCCCAAGTCCGAAACTATCATAAGAACATATTGGAACCTTCAAATCCCGATTCCAAGTTCGTTTACTCAAAATGTTGACCGAAGTCAATCTTGGCCTTTTAAGACAACCTTAAGGAACCAAGTGTTCCGATTTCAATCCAAACTCTTCCAAATCCTGAACCAACCATCCCCGCAAGTCATAAATCAGTAAAAGCAAGTACAGGAAGTCTTATTTAAGGGAACGGGGTTCTAGAAAGCAAAACGACCAGTCGGGTCGTTACAGCCCCAATGTACTCACTATTCTCAAGGCATAACAAAGTCAAGAGATATTGCTTCAATTCAATTCATATCACAATGGATCCTACTCTAGAAAAAATAAAACTACCTACATCCGGTTCAAACAAAACCCTTGTAAAAGAACCACGGCACAAAGAAAAACCAAGGGGGAGTTACTACACTACCTACAAAGAAAATCTTTTTGTCCTTTTTCTTTAGACTTAAATCCCTCAAGAAAACTGTCTAGGAGATCCATCATCGGGATAACCCCAATTTTTCTACTTTTTTTCGATTTTTTATAGCTACTAAAATACTACACAACTACTAAAACAAAAGTAAGAAGTTAACATTTTTCTTTATCCTACTGACTATCTAGATAATTCTCCCACCCCATACTTAAAAGAGTGCAGTGTCCCCAATGCACAAATAAAGCAAAACAATAATGAGGGTGGACAAGAAACTCCCTGAAAGGCCAAAGACCGAAGCAATAACGGCTCACGGGTACTCAAACTTCCCCCATGCATGATCCTTTGTGTGGCACCCCACACATAGTTCTCACCATTTAACTCACTTTTGCACTCTTCCAATGGCTTTTCTTCTTATTCTTATAAACCTATAAAACAAAAACAACACTACAACAATAAAAAGATAAAAAATAAAAATAAAAGAAAGCAGTAAAGATGGGTTGCCTCCCAATAAGCGCCTGGTTTAACGTCACAGCATGACACAGAATCTCGTCTAATCATTGGCAAGTAATGCCTTTGACTTCTGACGATCAAAGTCACCCCCATAATAGTGCTTTACTCTTTGTCCGTTCACTAAGAACATTCTCTCTCCACCTAAGACGCGCAACTCAATTGCACCTTGTGGAGTGACTCTCACTACATCAAACGGGCCCGACCATCTCGATTTGAGCTTCGTTGAAAAGAGTCAATTTTGAATTGAACAAGAGAACCAATTGGCCCGGCTCGAACTCGCGATGCTGAATATGCTTATCGTGCCAGCGCTTGGTCTTTTCTTTATATAACTTGGCATTCTCATACGCATGCAAGCAAAACTCATCAAGCTCGTTCAATTGCATCAACCGCTTTATACCCGCTAAGTCTGCATCAAAGTTCAGCTTCATTATTGCCCAATAAGCCTTGTGGTCAAGTTCCACCAGTAAATGGCATGCTTTCCCATAAACCTGCTTGTAAGAGTAGGTTCCCATGGGAGTTTTGTAGGCTGTACGGTATGACCATAGAGCATCATCAAGCTTTGCAGCCCAATCTTTGCTACTTGCACTAACCGTCTTCTCCAGGATCTGCTTTATGTCTCTATTTGGGACTTCAACTTGCCCACTAGTTTGAGGATGATAAGCGGTTGGAACTTTATGTTTTAACCCATATTGCGCTAGACATTGTCCAAGAGCTTGTTACAGAAATGGGTGCTCTTAGGGATGTTCATTTGGATCGGATATCCAAAATCCGAACCGATCCGTTCAATTCGGGTTTCAGATTTCGGGTTGGATCGGATTTCGGATTGTGTTTATTAAAATTTCGGATTTCGTATCAGATTCGGATTGGTGTAATTTTAATACGATCTAATCCGAAATCCGAAATTATTAGGGCATGTATAAATACTAAACTTTAATTTCGGATAGTTAGTACTTCCTTTATATTTTCCTCTAAGTTATTACCTTTACAATTGATGGATTTATCTATATTAGCACCATAGTACCCTCATAATTGCAGAAACATGAATTTTTCTTACTGTATTGCCTCTTTTACAAAGAAAATATACATATGAGTTTGCAACATTGAGGCATAATAATCCGAAAATCCGATCCGATCCGATATTAATTCGGATCGGATTCGGATTGCATTTTCTAGAATCCGAAATCCGAAATCCGATCCGAAATGTGCTAAATCCGATCCGATCCGATCCATGCACAGCCCTAGGTGCCCCCATCACTTATCGTCACTCTCGGTCTGCCGAACCTTGTAAAGATATGCTTTTTCACAAATTTGACCACAACCTTAGCATCATTGGTAGGAAGAGCTATGGCCTCCACCCACTTTGACACATAATAAACGGCCACCAAAATTTACTTACACCCACTGGACGAGCGAAACAGACCCATAAAATCAACTCCCCAAATATCAAAATTTCAACCTCCATAATACTGTGTAATGGAATCTCATGCCTTTTCGTAATTGTTCCTATTCTCTGGCACCTATCACATCTCCTCACGAACTCATGGGCGCCCTTAAACACCCTAGGCCTGTAGAAACCCGATTGCAACACTTTAGTTGTTGTTTTGTCACCCGCATGATGACCACCATAAGGCGATGCATGGAATTCATGTAAGATAGGATTTATTTCAGATTCAGGCACACATATTCTCATTAGATGATCAATATAAGATTTGAACAGGAATGGCTCATCCCACACATATGACCTCACATCTCGCAAGAACTTCTTTTTAGCATGAGGTTCAAGAACAGGCGGCATCTCTCCACTTGCCAGATAATTCACAAAATCTGCATACCATGGCACCTCCCCAGAAGTAATGGACAACTATTTCTCATCTAGGAATGTTTCCTTGATGACATCTCCCTCAGCTACATGATCTTGAGTTTCTAACCTGGACAAGTGATCAACCACTTGATTCTCTGTTCCTTTACGGTCTCGGATCTCCAAGTCAAATTCCTACAAGAGTAAAACCCAACGGATTAGCCTTGGTTTAGCATCTTTCTTTTCAAACAAATACCTGGTGGCTGCATGGTCTGTGTAGACGATGACTTTGGTGCCAACCAAATAGGCCCGAAATTTATCGAACGCTCATACTACAGCAAGCAACTCCTTTTCTGTCACAGTATAATTTATTTGAGCGAGAGTGAGAGTCTTGCATGCGTAGTAAATTGAGTGAAATATTTTGCTCCTCCTCTGACCCAATACGGCCCCAATTGCACCATCACTGGTGTCACACATTAGCTCAAATGGCTCGTTCCAGTCAGGAGCCACTATGATTGGTCCACTCACTAACTTCTTTTTTAGCTCCTCGAATGCTTTTATACAAGCATCGTCAAACTTGAACGACACATCCTTCTCTAACAACCACAAAGGAGAGGAAATTTTTGAGAAATCCTTTATTAATCGGCGATAAAAACCTACATGTCCCAGAAAACTCCTAACTCCTTTCACTGAAATCGGTGGTGGCAACTTTTCAATTGCTTCCACCTTAGCCTTGTCAACTTCCAGTCCATCTTTGGACACCTTGTGTCCCAGCACTATACCTTCACGTACCATAAAATGACACTTTTCCCAATTCAGTACCGAATTAGTCTCCTCACACCTGGCAAGCACTTTAGCAAGATTGGTTAAGCATTCATCAAAAGAAGGACCAAACACAGAAAAATCATCCATAAAAACCTCCACAAACCGTTCCACCATATCGGTGAAAATAGCCATCATACACCTTTGAAAAGTTGCAGGTGCATTACACAACCCGAATGGCATTCTCTTCAATGCATAAGTGCCATAAGGTCATGTAAAAGTGGTCTTTTATTGATCTTCCGAGGAAATAGTTATACCCCAAATAACCGTCAAGGAAACAATAGTATTCCTGTACGGCTAACCTGTCAAGCATTTGATCAATGAAGGGGAGAGGGAAGTGATCTTTTCGTGTTGCATTATTGAACTTCCTATAGTCTATGCATATTCGCCAACCAGTCACAGTTCTAGTTGGGATTAATTTATTTTGTTCATTTACTACAACAGTCATACCCCCCCTTTTAGGTACACATTGAAAAGGGCTTACCCACCTGCTATCGGAGATAGGAAAGACTATACCTGCGTCGAGCCACTTAATTACTTCTTTTCTTACCACCTCTTTCATGATTGGGTTGAGGCGGCGTTGATGCTCCACGCTAGGCTTCTGTCCCTCCTCTGAGTATTTTGTGCATGCAGAATGTAGGGCTAATATCTTTTATGTTAGACATCGTCCAACCAATGGCATGCTTGTGCTCCATCCGCACCCATAAGAGCTTTTCTTCCTACAATACAGACAAATGAGAAGAAACAATCACAGGTAAAGTGTTAGAATTTCCCAAATATGCATATTGAAGATGAGATAGTAAGGGTTTAAGTTTCAATTTTGGGGCCTCCTCAACTGAGGGTTTAGGAGGCGCGCTGATTGGCCTATCCAAAGGCTCAAATTGGGTTCTTTATCTTATGTATTCGCATGATGCATCCAGAATGTGCAACATCTCCTCAACCTCTTCTTCAAGTTCTAAGTGATTGAACAACTTCAATGCCTTTTCTAGTGCATCTTCTTTAAACACCCTTGGATCTGCGGTTATATTTATCTCCACAATCGAAATCATGGCCAGGTCCTCGTAATGAAGAGGCAACTGAATGGCTCGATATACATTAAAGACTGCTTCTTCATTGTCTACCCTCAGGATCATCTTACCTTTTCGGACTTTGATAATTGCATCTGCAGTGGCTAAAAGAAGTCGTCCCAAGATTATAGTGACCAACTCATCAGCCACGTAATCTAGGATGATAAAAGATGCAGGAAAAATAAACTTCCCAATCTGCAGCAAGACGTCCTCAATTACCCCTTCAGGATAAACATAAGACGTATCAGCTAACTGTAACATCACTGTGGTGGGTCTCGGAGCTCCTAAGCCCGATTGTTTGAACACTGACAATGGCATCAGATTGATACTTGCATCCAAATCACACAGGGCTCTACCCACATCAAATTCACCAATCCTCACGGGGATGGTAAAACTACCCGGATCCTTAAGCTTTTGTGGAAGCTTATGTTGAATCCTGGAAGTGCACTCCTCAGTATACAGTCTCAAACTCAGTTAACCTCCTTTTATTTGCCACTATGTCCTTAATATATTTTGCATATTTTGGGACCTCACGGAGCATATCCACCAAAGGGATGTTCAAATGCATCTGCTTCAGCATATCTAGGAATTTGTGAAACATGTGGTCATCATTCTTCTTTCTCAATCTTTGAGGAAAAGGGGGTGGCACCCTCTCTGATTTTTGCTCAGGATCTGTTTTGTTTCTCTCATCTACCTCTATAGGTTTTGGCACTCTTTCTTCTTCGAGCCCAGATTGCTCCTTTTTCTTCTTAGGCACTTCTACCAACTCTCTCCCATTTCTCAACGTCACTGCATTAACTTGAGGATTTTCTTCTATATCACTTGGAAGAGCTCCAGCAGGGCTAATATTCTGATTGTTAGCCATTTGCCCAAACTGCCTCTCTAGATTTCTGAATTCTGTGCGTAATTGTTGATTCTTAGCCATAACTTTCTAATTGTCTATCAAGAGCTTCTTCATCATCTCAGTCAAACCCTCCTCTACTTCCTGTGGGGGTTGAGGTGGATGATTGTAATTCGCCAGAGTCCTGATATTCTGATTTCCACCCCAAGAGAAGTTAGGATAATTCCTTTAATTTGGAATGTATGTGTTATCATATTGAGCATGTTGATTCATTGTCCCACTAGCTTGTTCCCCACGTAGTAGATTGATTCAGGATTTATGGGACATATGTCACTTGTGTGACCTTCACCACATAACTCGCAGCAAGTAGAAATCTGTTGCACATGTTGCATATGTTGTGCATGGTACATTGTCATTTTATTCATCTGATTTGCTAATCTCACTATTTCTGCCCTCATTGCTAAGAAGTCATCAAGATTGTTCACACCTGCTGCCTTTTGTTTAAGTTCTCTTCGTGGTTCCCCATCTCCTTGCCAATTATTATCATTAGCAGTAAAATTGTTTAGCAGGATCTGGATCTCACTATACGGTCTTGCCATGCAACTACCCCCACATTCTGAGTCAAGATTCATCTTTGATGCCTCGTCCAACCCATCAACGAAAGTGTGACCCAACACCTCATCAGTCTGACAATGGTGTGGGCAATCTCTGAGTAGCTTCTAGTATCTTTCCCAAGCTTCTCTAAGAGTCTCACCATCTCATTGTTGAATCTGGCTCCTCAGTGACTTTGTCTGCTTCGTGAGAAAAAACTTGATTAAGAATTTCCTTGCTAGATCATCCCAATTGTGGATTGAGTTCGCGGGCTCCTTTTGTAACCATTGCTTAGCTTCCCCCCATCAGTGAAAAGGGAAACAGTGTCAGCCTGACACAGTCCTTGGAAACGTTTGGATAATTGTAAGTGTCTGTAATTTCCAGGAAGTTCTGAATGTGCCTTTGCGGGTCTTCATGAGATAGCCAACATATTGCCCTGTGGATTGAATCAGTTGTACCATGTACTGTTTGAGTTCAAAGTGACCCGTGATGTCAGGCTTCACAATCGCCTGCGTCATAAGAGCCAGATTGGGCCCTGCAGCTTCTACCACCGGACGCTCTTCATTACCTGCCATCTCTATTGGCTGTGGTTGAACTACGATGTCCAACTCTCTTTCAATTCTTGTTCTAGCTTCGACTTTCCTCCTCACTCTATGAAGTGTTCGTTCGATTTCAGGATCAAGAGGGAGGAGATTGTTTGCTCTTATACTCCTCCGCATTCAAGAGAAGAGCCTGCGTTATCACAAATAAATCAAGCTAAAAAAAATTAAAACTTGAACAAATAACGAATAAAAGCTTAACTTAACTAAATAATCAATAACTAAGTCCCCGGAAACGATGCCAAGAACTTGTTGGGACCAAACACACACGCAAGTATTCTTGGTCGTCAAGTAATAAAGTGACTCGAAAGTCGGATGTCGAACCCACAGAGACTTAGATTGATCGTTAACTAAGCAAACTAAAATCAATCAATTGTCCAGGATAATCAAGAGTGATATTTTTCTATTAATCTAGTATTGCGGAAATTAAACAAATAACAACTAAATAAACAAGAATGCAAATGGGTATGATGAAATTTTACTTGAGAGGAGATGAAAATTCCAGGGTTGTGGTTGGTAATCCTATTAAGTTAAATAATGACACTCGTTAATCCAGATTATCTATGATTGCTAATTAACCGGATCATTTATATGAATAGCATGTTCCCACAATACTACTCGCCTGCCACAATATATCAACCATATATTCCTATGGTATTGAGTCTATCATGAACGAATATAGTACGGTATTTAATTAAGAAAGACTATTAGGTATATTCCTATCCTAACCGCGAAATCTTCCCCCGAGCCACGGGTTCAAAAACAAGCTCTCTCTAATTCTACTCTAATCTAAACACGGCTTTTCCAAGCATAGCATAGATAGTAAGGTGAATTGGTAGCTACAACAATTCACAAATTAAAACTAGAATTAAAAAAACAACCACAAGATGATAATCCAAATTAGCGAAGATGTAAATAATAAATATTAATAATCATGCCAACCACAACCCTAGAACTAGAGTGCTTAGCCACTCATGTTCGTAGTAACAATTTTTTAAGTATTTTGCATAAACAAATTACAAAGAAAAGATAAAGAAATGAAGAACTCTATGATTTTCTCCTCCAAAAGTTGTTACACGTGATGTTCTTGCCTCCGGTCGTAAAACCCCTCTAAAAATAGTATTTATGATTATTTATATGTGTAGGGAATAGAACCAAATGAAATAACCAAATCCAAAACCAAGTAGGAGACAAAATAGGTTTTAAAAATCCGGAAGCAGCTCGCTACAAACCGTGCCTCGCGACCTCTATAGCGCGCTCTACCTCGCTTCAGGCCTTGCCTCACCAGCCCTGTAGCGCGCTTGGCATCTCGCGTCGCCAGCTCAAACGCAAGTTAAATTGCTCGCGCCGCATGCTTTTGAGCGAGAAACGTCCCTTGCCTCGCCTGCTTTTTTCATTTCAATTTTTGTTGCCAACTTTTCATTCCAGTTCTCGTTTCTTTGTTTTTCTTCTTTCTCATTCGTTCTTTCTTCATCAACAATTCTTCTTTTGCCTTGTTTCATTTGTTGTCTTCCTTTAATTTGCTTTTCAAATATTAATCATCACTCCATCATCAAATAATCACGACAAATAATCACGAGCCAATCATGACATAAAAATTATTCCCATCGTCAAATAATCACGACAAATAATCACGAGTCAATCATGACATCAAAATTCCCATCATCAAATAATCACGAGACATTCTTGTAGTGTATAAAATACACATTAAAATCTCTACTTTGCTCTCAATTTCGTCTTTAACGTACCTACACATAAATTAAGCTCAATTAAGCACAAATATAGTGTAGTTTAGCATTAAAGCCCCAACATGTAAGGTAAGTAATGCACTAAAATATGGAATTATCACCAAACACTACCCCACACTTAAATGTTGCTCGTCCTCGAGCAATAAAAATACACTTTATATAGACACGACCTTTTTAAACAATTCTCCTAACTCATCACACCAGGAATCTTAAAAATAGACTAAGCACAAGATTGTAGCATCTTCACCTCAAGATTTGACTCACAAGTACCATGCATTATTCACAACTCACTCACATACTCTAACATAGAGGTCAATGACATCGCCTTTCCTTCATGAATCAAGTTCCCTCACACAATAAAAGAGAGTAGTTCTACACACAATAAAATTTTAAGAGTAATTAGGAACTCAAGATAGAAAGAATTCACTCACTCTCAGAAATAACATTTATATGCTACAAAATATGCACCATAGGCTTGCCCGTAGTGTACTACTCTACTAATCGAGCTCATTTAGTCTAGGATTAAGTAGGTCTTTAATTGGTTGTAATGTAAGTTGCGGGTCGGGTATGATACATTTGGATATAAGAATGACTACACCTCCCTAAGCACTTTAATACATATACTTAAACATTTAAAACCATACTTTTGTCAAACCATAGCTCCACCTTCACATCAATGTATATTAACTCCATACTTCTTTAAGCACAATTACATCAAGAGTTACCACTATCAAGGAATATCTTTCACAGCAATAGAACTATTTTTTTCACTTCAAGTGGCTCTTACTTTTTTCACAATAGTGCACCTTTCTCCTTATTTCATTAGTTCCACTCAAAAGCCAAACCAACCACCCCACACTTTAACTTTTACAAAGTTCATAACAACTCAAGTGCTCCTGAGAGGTTAAAAGGTTCAAATAGATGGTTAATTCAAACAAATTGGTAAGGCTTGTAATGTGGTTGCCGAAGAAACAAGATTACAGGCTCAAAGGGTTTAACTACGATACATAATAATTAGGCGGGTAAAATATATATATCTGGCTCAACAAAGAAACACCTATATCACTTCCAAGACTGAACAACACTACTATTTCGCTTCGAAAACACACGGGACAAGTTCTAGACATCCAATGCAATGCATAGAATTACACACAAACCTCACACACACATGGCACATCACTCACTTAGGATTGGATTCATCAAGACACTCTAGTCAAAGCAGTTAAGAAAAGTTAAGATTATACAATTTAAGGTACTTATACAAGAGTCAAAAACTGAGCCTATGACACGACCCAAATTCCATTATAGGCCGTGATGGCGCCCAACACCGTTGTTAGGCAAGTCAACACTGATCAACTAGTGAATTCCCGTTTTATATAAATTATTAAGTAATAGCTCCTCCTTTCTTGTTAAGATTTAAGAGTTTGAAATTATAACATAAATAAATGGAAACAACGAGTACGAATCATAATCATGTAAGTAAACCAAAATAATAAGTCTACTAGCGTGTGTGCCAAGACCTGGTGTCACAAGTATGTGGGCAATCTAGTAGAATATACAAAACCATGCTAGCCTACTGTCTGAAAGGGGATACACAGAAAATAAAGACATAGGAAAGACTCCAACAGCTGCGGAACGGCTCAAAAGGGCAGCTCACCGGGAAGTCTCGAGCTGTGGAATCAAGTCAACGCGCCGGTCTGATGGCCAGATGCACCTGCCTCAAATCCTGTATAATCAAGTGCAGAAGTATAGCTTGAGTACATAAAAATATGTACCCAGTAAGTATCTAGTCTAACCTGTGACGAGGGGTCGACTTCGACACTTACTAGGGCCAACAATATAATAATATGTCATTCTAATAAGCATGATATACAGAGCTAACAATAAACTCAGAACAAGAAATAACTGAACAGTTCTTCCGTAATATTTAAGAACCCAAACACTTCCTTCATTTAAAATAAATGATCTCTAAAGCAGTAAACTTATACCAATTATAAAAAGGGACTTGCAGTTTTATTATCACACATAAATTCCACCGAGGACGTTGGCCCGATCCGACATAAAAATGTAAACTGTGCACTACCGAGGGTCGAATGGCGCGAACCATAGATGCATCTATTAACCTGCCGAGGCGAACGACCCGCTC